AAACGCGGCTAGGTGTCGCTCACAGTGCATGGGGTATTTTAATCTATGTCATGTTTTTCAAAAAATGGGTTCTTCAGACATTGAAGTAAACTGAGGCCTTTTCCCAAGGATATAATTGGATTATAAGACTTTTCACTGAGAATCACATCCCCGTGCTGACATAAAACCAAGGATAAAGGTGGGAAATCTATTTTTGAATTCAAATTCTTTAAAAATAGTTTATCTTGTATGATATACCCTCCTTCATTGAAAAGACAAAAAGTGTAATTAAGCTTTGGGGAAAAATTGGCAATTCCTTCATGACGGCACTACGGTATATAAAACTAACTCAAATGTACACAAAATCTTGAGAAACAGCTGTGATCTCTTAATATATGTCATTTGTTTAAAATACATTCTACCTTGATACACAGTATTTTGAAGAAAAAAATATTAAGAAGTATCTTTGAGCTTCAAATTATTTCTTTTGACTCTCTCTCTTATAAAACCCGGTGACTGTCCTAAAAATTTGGTAAGCAAGCAATTATTCTTACTCCAATAATGGTAACCCTGAACTCTCAAAAAACACCCATTACATAGAGAGCCAGCCTTGCTTATGTGCCACAAAATGTGCAGGGACAAACACTGGCACTAATATATTGGGGTTTGACTGTATCAAAACCAAGAGAAGCTTTCTTGCAATCACATCTAGAATTGAGGAAATTCAGCATCAGGAAATATAAATTCTTTATTCCTACTGATGCAGATAAATTGCCTGTTAAATTCAGTGCATCAAGGCTAATTATGAGCATTAATTTTTTTTTTCATTTTGGAAAATGACATTTGAAAAATTTATTCCTCCAAATCAGGGAAAAACTGCTTGTGGTACAAATTCGCTTTATGCATTTTCAAGGCTGAAATAATACGTTTGCTACAACACAACAACGAGAATGAAATGGAAAAGTGGGGCTGTTTTTTTCACAAGAGCGACACCTATAGTTTGGAATTCGAAAAACCCTCGATTCAAACAAATTCGTCATTCATTGATTCGTATAGGTGATGCCTGCCAGAGACCACATGCGGATCGAGGACTGGGCAGAGTGCCGACAACGTCTGTGTCCAGTTGTTCTGGTACCTGGCAATAATGAAAATAATAACGGAGTTTGCAGCAAGTCTGCCACAGATGGCGTTCGCGTCACGCGGTGCGTGTCTGCCAATGCGGCTGTGGGTGCTGGACTCCTGAGTTGCGCCTCAGCGCCATCTACGTCCAGCAAGCATCGCACCCATGACAAGTTCTCTCAGGTACAGTATACAGTGGCCCCCCGCCTAACAGACCTCCCGTGTAAGGGATTTTCGCC